TTATAAGTTTTTTAAATTTTTATACAATTATATTCCTTTATATTAATATTTTTAAAATATGAGTTGGTGCCATTAATTAAACATGGAAAGCCTTTGTTCTGCCAAAAAAAATTTGTTGGTTATTTAATCAAGGAGTTTCTTTGTATTGTTTTTGTAGACGAAGGTATGGCTCATGAAGAAATATGGTAATAATGAATCTTGGACTAAAATGCTTGTGATGGAAAATATGATATGTATGAAGGTTTCTTTTTATCTATTATTATTATTATTATTATTTTAATTTTCGAGATAAAGCTATTAGAAAATGGGGATATTTTGTTGCATGGTTACGGAAATTCAGTTCAGTTTGATCCTTGAAAAACAAAATTACACAAAGCTAGACATTCTAAAGGTGTTAGCTTTAAAAGGTATTAATTACAGTAACAAGATGAGACATCCCCTGAAAAATATCGCAGCTTCTGTATTTTCTTCCCTAGTAATAATTGTTTGTACGTATTTCCACAAATGGTACGTTATTTATATCTTTGATTAAGGGATAACTTATGTCAATGTTTATTTATTTATTTTTTAGTTTTTTTTTGCTAGTCTCAGCTTCATTGTTTTGCAGTCGTTGGTTTTAGCACTCATTCAGTAAATCAAATAAGTTTAAGATGAATTTCAAAATACTTTTGGATTGAAAAAATATTTAATTGTTTTTTCCTTTATGTTTTTAGATAATTTCGACATAAAATTATAAAATCTAAAAAAAAACTAAACAATATATATAAATTTATTTCCTTATAAAAAAAAACACAAGATTTTACCAAATACCAAGTACACACACTAAACATACTGTTATGATACACTGGTTGTGGTATTCTCAATTATTTCATATTCTATCTCAACTACTGTCATATCTTCATGATTTTTTATTGTCGCAGATGGTCTATACTTAAAACTTGAATTGAATTTGCTAAGAGTTTGTATTAAAATTTAATTAAAAGGTAAAAATAATGAAATTTGAATTCGTAACTATTTGATAGTTAAGACTCTCGTACATTATTAAAAAATTATTTTAATTCAAAAAGTTAAATTGTTTGGATAAAAAACAAAAATTGTTTTCCATTACTCACTGTTACAATCCATTCACTCTAAGCTGCAATTTTTATGCTCTTTTGATGGTTAGTTTTTGGTCCATTGGCCACTTTGTTTCTCTCCACTTGAACAACTAAATATTTCTAGTATTATTTAGACTATAGTCTTATATTGTTTTTCCCTTTCAAAGATTCAACAGCAAAAGAAAAAACGTACGTGTAGCAGAATATGTTTGTATTTTTTTCTCTTTTGTTCTTCATTGAGAGGAACAACGATATTCAATTGAAGGAAACGAGAAAAAATAGTTAGGGTATTATGCATATACAAATATACTATATCCTAAAAAATAAATAAGATGTTTTGAATTGCGAGGATTGTCTCTGTGGGATGCTTTAGTTGGGTGTATATGTGCCGGGTTTCTTTATGAACCATAAAAGAAATTAGGAACAAACAAAATCATAAAAAAAAAAAAAATGTAAGCCCATAGTGTCTGCTTTTCTTTATCAATACAACTCAAGGGGAGCCAATTTCTTGTTTTTGGATATTCCCTTTTATGTTTTCTAAATAAAATTTTCAACCAGTTACAATTTACAAATAGATTTATTGTTGGCTTTCTCTCTCTGTTTGCTTTAAATTACTATATGTATGTGTGTGTGGTTACTGAAATTTTTTGGGAAAAAAGAAATAGGATGATGGAAATAGGAATGAAAATATTATTTCTAAGGTGTTTGGTTGAAAAAAATAAAGTGAGAATGAGAATAAAAATAAAATATAGTTTTATTTCTATAGGAAGAGGTGAAAATAAAAACAAAAATATGAATGAGATTTTTTTTTCCTTCAAAATAGTGATATATTATTTTTATTTATTATGTATCAACTATTTTTACTATTATTACCAACTCCCTTATTAACACCACAACAACCATTGGCTATTGTGATAAAAAAAATCAAAAAAAATTATTATTATTATTTTGCAACCACTCTTCCACCATAATTATCTTTTTTATTATACCACCACCATTTTCACTATTCTTTTTTCACTGCCACCTCTTAAGGTTGGCGCATCAATTTTTTTTTTTAAATGTATTCTCACTATTATTGTATTATTATTACTATCACTACCTTTTCTTTCACTACTAACATTACCACCCCAATCACCTCTATAATTTTTATTATCATTATAATTGATGAAATTGTTTTGATTACTATTTTTATTTGTTTTGAAAAACCAAATATCAAAAGTTCTAAAGTTTGTTCTATTGTTCGAGGGGCAATCCAAAAGAAGGGGGTGAATTGGATTTCGAAATATTAAAATGAGTCAGAATACTGATATATATATATATATATATATATATATATATATATATCGTGTGTGTGTGTGTGTGTGTGTGGATATTTTTTTATTTTTTCGGAGAGTTTTTTGTGTTTTTGGAAGTATCATGGTAGAAGGAAGGCAATGGAGGTTTTATGTATAGAAGAAAGAGAGATGGCAATTGGGTGATAAGTTTGTAGAGATGAAATTGAAAGGGAACATGTTTAATTGACATATATGGTGGCTTGATCAGTTGGAGAAGAATGTTGGAGTCTGAGAAAGGCACAAGTTAGAATTGCTCCATAATCATTTTAATCAAGATATATATGGGCCTTGATGCATAGAGAACTTTTCTGTTTTCTCTTATGGGTTTATGGGCTTGTGCTGGATTAATTGCTTGGACAGTCGTATGTGATCTGCTTATAGGCCTTTATAAAGATAATCTTGCACACTCAATTTTTATTTTGTTAAAGACAAACCCATGGTTTGTTATCATCAAAATACATGAGGTTCAACGCTTTATGATTTTTTTTTTATTATTATTATTCCAAACTGAAAATATCATTCTAATTTCTTATTGTTTATTATTATTTTAAACTTAGAGGCTGAAGTGAAATGGGAGCAAAGTTTTGCTTCATCCAAAGATGTGGGTGATATATAGCTTAAAGGTATTATTCCAATTCAAAAGATAATGAACCGAATTTTACGCCTTTTTTGTGTTGTTTTCTTGCTTGCAATATAAAATTGTCTCTTATATATATATATATATATATATATATATATATATATGCGTGTGTGTAGTATTACAACTCCTTTTGCATAAAAAAAAGGTATTACAATTCTCTACATTAATTTCTTTTCATGATGGTGAATGATTTTCATTTGCAATTTAGCTGCAGTATTTTTAATTATATTAGTAATGCTGGGGGTATTAAATTTTTTTACTTAGTTTTTCTTTTTACTAAATTACGTGACATCTATTATAAAGAAAAAATTTCCAATTACAGAATGTAAATGTTATATATATATATATATATATATATATATATATATATAACCCATTGTTGCGTCCAACTTCGCCGGATCAACATGATGTGGCACACGTGACCGGCAACGGAAAGAAACCAATTTCTTTTCATGATATTACACTTTAATCCCTCTTTTTAAAATTTTTTTTACTCGGCAAATATTTATTTATTTATTTTGGTTTCACTTTTTTTCTTTTATTTTGATCACTTTGGTCCTTGTTTTTTTTCTCTGGTTTCTTTAATTAAAAAATTTAAGACAAAAAAAAAATTTAGAAAAAAATAATTTACAAAATAAGGTTTTAGCTAAAAATATGGATAGAGATAAATGAATATTTTTTAATAAATTGTTTTTGAAAATATAAAAAATAATTAGTCATATACAAAATTTGGATTAAAAAATGATAAAATTGAATGAATTTTTATTAATTTTTTATTTGATATATTTTGGTAAATGTACAATATAACATGGAAAATCAAAATCAAAATCAAATAATTTTATAAAATAATTTTATGTATTTTGTCTGATTTGTAACGTAATATGGGTAAAAAAAACTAGTATTATCCTATACAACTTCACCATAATCAAGAAAAGTCTCCAAAATTCCAAGTACATAGATAAATACTTGAGATATATATATATATATATATATATATAGTTTTTCTGTTTAAGGAGTCCAAAAAATTCAAAAATCAAACCGAACAAAAAAATTGAAACAAGTTCTATTCTTTTTCTAAAAAATAATTTTGATTTAAAAATCGAATTGAAATTGGTATTTAGGTTTAGTTAAACCAAATATCTCTTACCGCTGTATACAGTAGCAAATTCCTGTCTTTTTAAAAGTAAAAATCGATAAATTATTTTTTTTCTCAATTCATATAATTTTTCTTAACTAACAATAGCTTTCTGAATTCAAATACAATGACGAAATTCATGGTTTTGGAAGAAAATTATAAAAAGAGCTTGTTAGAATGAAAGACCCACTTGAAAGGCTAGTTTATTTAATTTAACTTTTTCATCCAAAGTAATTTTCCATAAATTTTACCTTTTTAAGGTAATAAGTGTAGAATTTCTTCAGCTCCTCTTTTTTATGGTTGTGATCGGCTTTATCTGGAATTTAAAAAATTCGGAAAGTTGACATGCCACTTGCTACGTAACCCCAACCAGAAAGCCAGGAAGACAAAGACCAAAGCTAGTCAAAAGAGCTTAATCAAATTTTAGTCATTGCTGTAATGATAAATAAATACCATGCAAGATTGTGATTTTTTTTCTTTTGTTGAAAGATTATGATCACACATACAAAAGTATGATAATTTTCTCTATATATATATATATATATATATATATATATATATATATATATCATTTTTTAAACTAATTGACCGCCATAACATGTCTATTTTTTTTTTAAATCAATTTTAAAGACAATTCTTTAAACTCACCGGTAGTATATAACTAATGCCACAAAAAAAATAAAAAATGTTTTCAAAAAATGAGAATTAAATTCTTAATCTAATGAGTTAGAAACACTCTTTTCAAAATTATCTCTAAATTTATTTTCTCTTTAAAATAAATATCAGAAAAAAAAATGAAGTTGGATAAATACAGTGTATGTCTCTTTTCATATCTCTTTCTCCATATCTAAAAACTCATTTGGAATCTGAATCAATCTTAAGACCCAAATTATAAATTTGTCCAAGAACTTATTTTGAACATCAATTAATTACTTATTATCTCAAAACTATTTTGTATTATTCAAAAACCTAAGAAATATATAGATGGCGATGTAAGGTGAATCTCTTATTGTTGTCAAGCATAAATGTTTGGCTATAAAAATAATTACATAGCATAAATATGATAGGCTAAGATAAGAGTGATGTTAGAAATTTTTGTGGATCTTGAAATAGCGTTAAAATCAACATGTGATGTTCTAGAAATCATAATACTTTGTCACCCTGGATTTCTGGTTTCCTTTTTAAAACGATAAGATTAGATTCCTATAATCACCAAGGTAGAAATTAGTTTTGTGCGAAAGCTTTTTTCGACCTTTATCCTTGACTTAAGGTACATTGGTGAATTTGCATGTGACATAAAGGTACAATCATTTTTACAAGGTAGAATACTTACTGTAATAATAATGCTTATATAAATGATACAAAATTCTTTCAAATAATTTTTTTTATAATATATTATATTGATATTGAATTGCAAACGAAATGTAATTATTAGAATATAAAGTAGAAAGAAAATTATGTTCTTGTATCAGAGTTAATAAAGTAGTTACGAACAAATTGTTAGTCAACAGTAAATAAATTGGTTTTCAAGTAAATTTTCTGCTAATATATAAGATTTGAGTCTTGAAATTATATTTATTGAGAGAGATTAAAATCTTATCGCTCTCGTTCCGGATATAATTATTACTAACTCTAATATGGGATGATGATATCTTGAGAAAACAAAGAAAAGAGTTATGCTTTGCATGAATATTCAACTTAAAACAATGCAATAAGCTATTTAAATATATAAAAATATTTAAATTGGCTCAACTAAATGTATAAAGTGCATCATTTATTTATTAAGTTAATGTCTTTTTTTTTATTCAAATAACTTTCAAAACTATAACCTCTATCCTTCAATATAAAAAAAAAAAATTGTTACTTTAAAATATTATTAAATGACAATAGAAGGCGAAACATATTGGGTTTTCTTGCAAAGTAATTAAATATTGATTTACAAAACACTATTTTAAATTGTAATTATTTTTTCAAAATTTTAAAATTTTAGTGATTGAAAATACTCTTTATTCCGTTAATTTGGATAAGAAAAGAAAAGAAAAAGGATACATATAAAGGAATATGATCATCATTCCATTAAGAATAATTAATGTTTCCAGTAAATTTCGTAGAAAGATGGCTCCACAAAATTCCCAAACATTAGACCTTTCATCTGTTGTGTTGCCACGTGCGAGTGTGTATTTTTCAATTCAACAACTCCCCATTAATATTTAACAAATTAACGCCATTTTTTCAAGAGAGAAGAAAATCAAGATCCGTATTGGTGGAGTTAATTAATAGTCATCGGTAGGGTGCATATTTCTCTTGAGCAATAATTATATATTTAAAGATATAATAAATACAATTAAAAATATAAAAATATGCCGGATAAAATATCTTTATGTGTGTTGTTAACTCATAACTTGAGAAGCCAGATAGAAAGACTATAAAGAATGAAATATTATTATATATCTTTATTTATTATAAGTAATAAGAAAAGAGAGAATTTTTTCTTAAAAAGAAAACGAGAAGGTCCATTTTATGGTTAATAAGAAAGACTGGGTTTGAAAAAAATAATTATTATTAAATAAATAGGTGATATATCCTTACATATTAGTTTAAGTTTTTAAGCTATTTTTATGTTTTTAATTATATCTATTATGTTTCAGAATAATATTTAAATTCTCAATCTACTATTTCGATCATAAATAAATTTTTTAACTAAAAAATCCTGATTCAAATGCAAAAAATAAAATAAAATAAAGTTTATTACTTAAAAATATTTAAAGAAGCTTAAGAAATTAAATATAAAATAACAATAAAAGGTGAAACCTTAAAAGTATTCGCCGGATATTGGACCTGAATTTTCAAAAACTTTCTTTAATTAAGTGGCTAAGACAAATTTAATTGAATTTGATTGTATTCTTAAGTGGTGCATGGTTTATATATATATATATATACACACATATATATTTCAATCATGAGCATGTTAATAAAAAAAATTGTTTTCAAACAGAAAAAATGATTAAAATAACAAATTAAATATTTAAATACTATTAAAAAATATTTTAATAATTATAAAAATAAATTATTATATAAAGATAGAATAACCTATTTATCTTTTTGTATTACTATAAAAATGACTTGATAGCTACTCAACGTAAAAATAATTAGTCATATACCTAGTTTTTTTCTGACAATAGTCAATTGCGCAAACAAAGTGATTGGAGAACATCGTACGAAGTTCATCTTTGTCGATAGGATAGATTTCTTTTGCCAGATGGAGTTGGTTCACACATCATGGCTGCCTCTCCGATAGAGACCTATCAAATTGTTTCCCAAATCACTGACAATTTGTTGCTTTGCCAGCTCTAAAGCTTTCCAACAGTGACTCCAAATCCACTGCGATCCCTTCCCTCTTTGTATGAGCAAAAGTTGTCTAACAAAATATTTATTTCAATTTAAAAATGTAAATCATTAGATATCAATAATAATTTTATTTCAACTTACTAACAAAAATCTATTAGAGATTCTTAACTAAAAAAAGTGATGGGGTCGAGATGATTTTGAAACTTACATGGAATGGTTGCCCACCCAAAGACCCATTGATTGTGTTGAGATAGTCAAATATTTTGAATGAATGAACCGGACATATATATATGATTTTAATTAATTTAATTTATATTAATTTGTGTTTTGTTATTTTTTTTTAACTAGCTAAATGAAGGGTATTATAAATTTCAAGCTCTCTTTTCCGCTACTGATTATTACAATTTAGCAATTGTATATTTGATAATTTTTTTAAAAAATTTAGATTCGAGTCTTGATAATTTTAATTTATTTAATTATTATATAATAAAAATAGATATCCTCATTGTGTGCCTAAACCCACGAGACTTCTGACGAACCAAAAAAAAATCATATCAAAAGAGTTTATTATGTTAATTTAAGAACGGGAAAACATGCTAAAATGTATATATGAGAACCCTATGGATTATTGGCTATTTTTATTGACGCCCTCTATATATTTTTATTCTTTTGATTTATGATACTCGAATTATAAAATATTTGGATTGGAACTGCTCTTTATATAAAGATCGAACCACCATTAGTAACGATATGACCACCAAGTGAAAGATTTTTTGCCACGGTTTCATCTATATAAATTTCAGACTCAATGTTTACTAAATTAGGGTTTTTTAAGGCTTAAAAGTTTTGAATCTAAAGACTAAAATCTGAACGTTTTTGTTCGATTTAAGTTTTAAAATGATTTTTAACATTGGAATGTTGTTTACAAGGTTGAAAGAATTGTTTTGATGGTCTTTAAAGTAATTTGATGACTGGAAAGATGATGTTTTAATGGTAAATAATAACCAACGGGGTTCTAATAAAAAAACTCAATAGCTAATATACTACAATAAAAATAATAAAAACTATAGGGAGTAAATCAAAACAATCAATAGTCGAGGATCCTTTATATATTTTAGCCACGTCAAACATGACCACAGTGTGAGAACGTGGAACACGACATCTCCTGGTTATTTTTATTGACACCCTCTATATATATTTTTCATCTGATTTTAATACTTGAACTATGAAATGTTTGAATTAGGATCCGATCTATAAGGATCCAACCATCATTGATGATGATATCATCATCAAGTGAAAGATTTTGCAACCACGATTTCATCCATATAAATATTTGACTTAATCATTACTAGATTCGGGTATGTCAAGGCTTGAAAGTTTTGAATCTAAAAACTAAAATATAAACTTTTATGTTCGATTTAAGTTTTAAATTGATATTTGACATCGAAATGTTATTCGTAAGGTTGAAAGAATTGTTTTGAAGGTCTTTGAAATAATTTGGTGAAGGAAATGATGAAGTTCTAATGGTAAATAATGATAGAAGGAGTTCTAATTGAAACATTCAATAGTTAATATACTAAAAGTAAAATAAGAAAAACTACAGGGAGTTTAAATCCAAATTATCCACGTGAAACACGACCATCCACAAAAGGTGCCCAAGATCCTTGTAGAAAGAGAATGTTATGCTCCGTCTTCAAGCATGTTGGCATTCCAGTACTTGAGCTTAAAACTGACCTCCCCTTCACCTAACACCCAGAAACTCTCTTTGTAATCTCTTCTACGCCTAGGGTTCTTTTCAGCCCCTTTTTCTTACGGCAGCCGGAAACACTAAGCCATGATAAGTTCTAGACTTTAACTGTCGCAATATGGCTGCTCTCAGATCCTTCTTTGCTCCTTCTAAATTTGGTCATTGGTGAAGAATATGCTCATGGTGGTGGTGCATACACCAAGATTTGTCTCTCCCTCTCCATGGTTTCCTAATTTGGCCGCCTGTGGTTGAACTGAAGAGGAGAATACTGTAGCTCCGACAAGAAGAAGCGGAACTGGCTGGAAGATTAATTTGGAATGTGTAACCGCAAAGCAGAGGTTGGTTACTCCAAAGGATCAACTCTAGTGAAAAAGCCTTTAGTTATTTAAATAAAAGTTTTCGGATTTGAGTATTTATTAGGCAGAAAACTTTTTGAATAACTTTTTCTATTTTATAAGTCTTATTAAACAGTAAAAAAATTAATATCTCTAGGCTTAGTGAGGGATTAATATCTTTGGCCTTGGGATATCTGAAAATTAAAAAAACAAAAAAAGCAAGATTGGTTCAATCTTGAGATGTTTTGGAAAAAAAAAAATACTAATATTATTGAGCTATAACGGTAATTATACCGAGATTAAATAGCTTTTTATGCACTGTCTTTTCAAGACAGTAATCATAATGATTATAATCGTTTGGTTTATATCATTTATGACATCTCTGGAGCGGCTTTGTCAAATTTAGATTTTTTATATTTATAAAAATGATCTTTTATGGTTCGTGATATATATATATATATATATATATATATATATATATGTATATATATATATATATATATTTGTTAAAGTTTTTTTTTTTCAAATTGTTTCGATGAATTGTCTTAGTTTTTTTGTTAATAAACATAATTGTGAAAGTGTGACACTTAAATTTATAAGTTTATCTAGACCCTCCATAGCATTGAATCTACTCTAATAAAAAAAGAAAAGAAAGGGACTTCATTAGTCTTCAGATTTAGAAGGTTGGCATATGTTTTAAGGTATGTATTCCAGATCACCTTCATAAATAATTTTTTAATATCCAGCCTTCCAGATCAGGCTTTGGAAAGACGATTCTTTAAGTCCCTTTTGTGCGTATGAAGAAACCGTAGGCATTTCCCACTTCTATTTATCTCTGTTCCCACACCAAAACACAGCTTTAGCCTTTTCCCTCCTTTCCAAATAGTCAAAAAGTAAAAATGAAAAACATCAATTCAAGTCTCTTGTTCCCTCCTTCCATCCATTCTTCTTTCTCTCTCCCTCCCTCCGTCTGTCACATACATCCAGGAACTTAGGACCAATCGAAATTAGGACCTGGCAGCTACCAGGAAATTCATTAAAACATCTAGAATACAAGAAATAAGCATAAAAAACCACCCAGGATATTTCATATCTTTAAAAAAAATAAAAAATACGAAGACCAGAACCACACTGCTTTTGTATTTGATATTACATTGAAATTCCACATAAAATTCTGATCATCGAACGCCAAGAAACCAATGGGCACGAATCATGCTAATTATAACAAAACCTTGCAGCAAGAAAATGGATGAATGTCTTTGAGCCTCTTCTTTTTAGAAAAAACCAGTCCTGTAGTGTAAAGCACTAGTTCAGCTATCAGAGAGATTGCAGAAAACTTCAGAAGTTGTATCAGTTTTCAAATAAAGCAAATCAAATCCACCTGACATTGCGTTGATTTTCTGGAAATCATTATTCACTAGTTGTATCAGGTGCATTATTCCTTTCATTTCACTGAACATCTAAACTATACCGGTTCAATTCAACATCTTTCAGATCACATCATTACCTTCATTTCACCAAAAAGCTAGTACATTTAACACAAATTAACGTGGCAGTAAATTGATTAGCTTAATTCCTTGATGTCAGATTAATGTCAGATCTCTCGCACCTTCCTTATCCCATTGGTACATAAATTGGCAAGGCAGGAGAAACTTTCAGGCAACAAACCAATGACCATATATTCGAAGAAGAAAGAAAGAAAGGAAAGCTATATCATGGAGATAAATGAAAGCTGTAGCATCTTTTTATAGCGAAAGAGTTTCATAGAAGAGAAAAGCAAAAGGGGGTGGGAGATTACTGAGAAATTAATGAACACAAATAACTGGGTGCCTGTCTTTTCTCTTACATGTTCCCTACCGGATTGCTTGCTATTCTTCTATCTAATCTAGTTACCTACATGATAAAATGATGGAGCCAGTATTTTGTTGTTTTCATTTTCACATATATGTCCATCCTGCACTCTTCTGTTTTTTTGTTAAAAAAAAAAAAAAAAATCTGATAAACCATGAATGGGCTGCATTAATAGCTCCAAGATGCAGGATAAGCCACTTGAAGAGCAAATGCTTCAAAAGATTTGGCAAAGGAAGCCAAGGAAAGCATGAAACATGACCAGGCACGCGCATGTTAATTGCATGCCCAGAAAAGACCACAGAGCCAGGCGTAAAACAAGAAAAAGAAGTTTCTGTACTTGGAACAAAAAAAAATATAGAGTTCTGCAACAACTAAAGAGTTAAATGCACCAAAACACACGACTTACTTGATTATATAATGAGATCGGTTTTTGGTTCGACTCTAATTCTGTAGGTTACTCCATTTTGTCCATCTTCTTCCCTGGTCAGAAAGATTCTGTCTCCAACTACAAGACCCTTCTCACGCGCGTACAACAACCAGTCTCCTATAATGGCAGGTTTCGGGTAACCATGAGCCCTAACAGAAAGCTCAAAATTCCAAACTTTTCCAGTGGCATCTCTCACTTTAAACCCTACAGCCTTTTGGCCTATGGGTATTGGAAAAGCATCAAGTTTTTGGGTGGGATATGCCAATCGGTGTTTTATGTCTGTGGGGGTTAACGCCTTATTATCTATAAGCACATCCATTTTATGTCTGAGTATCTGCCGTGTTCGTGAAGATGTTGGTCATGCATCCTATATATATATAGGCTGGGTTTTGTGGGGCATTATAAAGATTATATATTTCTTCATAAAGGGAAAAAGACACACATACATACATACATATATTGTAACAGAGAGGCTCGAGTTTGAAATCTCTTGATGGAAATATTGGATTTTTACTAATGGTTAATTGGATTAGCGTTTTAATTTTGAGAAGAAAAAAAACATGAAACTACAAACTATAGAGGCTCTATTGCATTAAAGCAATTATCGTTTCGAGCTTAATTGCTAAATTCATAAGGTCTACACATTTTGTATAGTCTTATACGTACATTTCTTCATGAGTGAGTCTGATTGTTCCACGTAATTGGTTAAAATTTATTTAAGATTTAATATAAAATTATTTTTAAGATTGTTATAAGATAAATAAAAATAATAGGAGAGTTGAAGAAAAGAATGACAAGAAAATAAAATTATTATAATGTGAATATAAGTAATAAGAACTTCAAAGTTTCTCTTATTCTCTCTCGAAACTTGTACACCAACTAATGAATAATCGAGGCTATTTATAGGCTTCAAAATTGAGGAGAGAATTAGAAGGGATTATGAATAATCAATTGCATCACCCTTTCAATTTCTCATATTGAATGATGAATTGAATCATATTAAGAATCATGAGTAGTAGAGATATGAAAAGTGGATGAACATGACGATGAATATTCATTATTTCATAACAAAATTGATTTTATAGTTTAAATTTTTAAATTAAAATAATTTTTAATGTCTAATTAAACGATAAAAAAAATATGACTAGCACAATTTTTTATTGGGTTATTTGAAAACATCTTTACCATAAGCCAATCTAAGGTTTTCTTACAGGTAGAAACAGGTGTTTCAACCTATGTACAGGTAGGAGCCACGATGCTCCTGAAATTCAAAACAATTCATAGAATTTTTATTTTTTCAGGTAACTCGAGAACCGACCATGATTCAATTACTTTCTCTAGTGACATATTGGTCTTAGAACCAAGAGTTTCAAGCCGCCCCGCCGCCCCCCCCCCCCCCCCCATTCTTGAAATAAGAGAAACAAGTATAACATTAGTGGTGGGTACAAAGAAGAATAAAAATGAGATTTTAACCTTAAAGCTCATGTTAGAAGTCCAAAACTCCTACTATCGAGTCACTCCTAATCATTAATTAATCCATAGAATTTATTAATAATCACTTCATATATCATAGTTCATTTTAAATAAATAAAAATACAACATTTTAGTTCATAATTTATAGATTTTTTACACTTTTTTTTTACTTATCCACACTACCTTGTGTTTAATTAATTAAAAGAAAAATAGAGATGGAGATATTTGATTCGTGATCAGTTGGTCATCAAGATTTTGATATCATGTCAAGGGATCATTTTATTAAAAAATTTAAGTAACTAGGTGAGACCCTATAAAATGATTTATATTATTTTTTAATATTTTTCACTTCCTAACTTCAAATTCTTAATTTTGTCTTTTGATTGGAAATTGTGTAATCAATTTTTTGAAGTATCAATTAAGGAGTTTGAGTTTCCAAGTTAAAGAACATTCACTGTAATTATTTAGAAATTTCAATTAAATTTTTTTTCTTTTTGGTCTATTTAATAGTCAAGTTTATAAAATGCTGGCATATTAAATAGATTTTTCCTATTTTCTAATACGCATTTTATGTTCACAAGGCATATTTAATGACCTTACTTTTGGACCGATCTAGTTGAACAACAAAACATTAGGTATTCAATAATCAGATAAACCCATTAAGATATTTGGCATTTTAGCTTGTTTATGTACAACGTATTTCGGCACTTATTCTTTTTGTGTTCTTAAAGCCAATGAGATTTTTTGCATTTTAGCTATCCACCTACCATCTACAACTAGAGAGGTGGAAAAATGGTTTGTTCAATTTGGTTTTGAAAAACCGAATCAAACCAAACATAATTTATGAAAACCAAATTATGAGAACTAAAATATTTTTATTCAGTTTTTTAAATTTCTTTTGAATGGAAATTTTGATTTGAAATTTTATTTAAAAAACTAAATTGAAAGAATTAGTTTTTCAATTTTTTTATCTGTTTTGGTTTTCAAACAAAATGAAATGAAAATTGAATCACCAAACTAAACAAGTAAAATTATGCAGTTTGGTCCTTTTTTTTATATATATATTCAATTTGAACAGTGGAAATATTTACCTGTGGAAAAAAATTGATATAATAATTTGTTTTTATTTTAGTGGATTGAGTTTTTGATACGTATCAGTGGGCCCCATTTCGGAACAGGATGGCCTTAATAAATAAGATTCCTGTTTTTTATTTTTTTCTTTCTGCCCCCCTAATCAAGGGAATCTGTAAATTTCTTTAGCGGGAGCAATTTAATGACCTCATCACCACGTCATTACGCTGACGTCCCTGTTTCAAATTTAATTGCTTCGTATAATCACTCTAACAGTTGAGTCATCATATGCTATCTTAATATAGTTAACTTATAAATTAGTTTTTCTATTTTCGAGAAACAAGTTAATTAATCTTTTTAATTTATATTATTTTATTTTAAAAACATCTTTAACATCAATTCTTCAATATTTTTTTAACTTAAAAAAAACCAAAATAAGTTGAAAAAAATGGAAAAAAGATAAGTTACAATAAAATAAAATAAAATAAAAGTGAGAGAGAGATTCTTACTATATGTACTAATATAATTACATCAAATTACTTTATTTATCATTGAACTAGCATTCATGAATGAAAGTTTATTATAATTTATTATAATTAATTAAATGCATCAAGAATATGTGAATGTTGTATTTTTTAGATATTTTGAAAAAAGAACTTACTTGTAGTTGACATGCAAGCTCCTTTGATGATATTCTTTAATTACCGTAGAATAAAAAAAATTAATCCTAACTTTAATAGATAAATAATGAAATTTATTGTCATATTACCATACAAACTCTCCTTTAATTGCCTACATATACCAACCCTACTATAATTTTTTTTATATACTTTTTGCTTATTTTCATTATCAATTTGTCTTATGTAAATCTTTGTTGGCTATCACATTTTTTATTGACAACTTACACCGTTGAATGTTTGTTATTTTATTAATTAAAAGCTGGATAGGGTTAGTTTTGTCATTAAGATATGTTAAATTAGTATTGTATAAAGAGTGTGTATATATATAATGGATTTTGATTCATAAAATTCTACATATATGAAATTCAGGGTTAGAATGAAAGAACCACTTGAAAGGCAGTTTTCCATTTAAGGTAAGAAGGGTAGCATTTTCTTAGCTCCCCCTATTATGCATGTGATCGACTTTACCGGAAATTTCAAAAGTTCGGAAAGTTGAAATGCCACTTGGCTACGTTATTCCGACCAGAAAACCGAAAAGCACGGACCAAAGCAACAAGGCAACAAATTAATGATAAGGAATTTGATTTAATTAGTAAAAAATGGTACAAATTAGCTTTTTAATTATAAATTTAACAATACTTAAACTTTATGATGGATGATTTCTTCTCAATTTTATAGGTTAGTTATTTTCATTTAATTATTTAATATAATATATATTTTTTAATACTCTCTCACTTGCAGTTTATCTTTTAGATCTATCAAGTGATTTGAGTTTTAAATTTTTTACTAAACCGGTAAGCATTTTTGAATTTTTAATATCATGTTTGTCGCTATCCGACGTCGAACGGGACTCTCAAAAAATAAAATCTATCCATGTGTATTGATGATTTACAAGTTTGGAGTCGTCACATAGTATTAAAGAATTAAGAACACGAAAGTTGCACTAGTTCAAAGATTCTATGGTGAAGAGTTGATTACCCTTTGGGAAGATATCGATCACCCAAAGAAGCCATTTCCTAAGAAAAGTATCACGTCTAGTTTAGTCTTAAATTCATCTCTTATAATATTTTATTTATTGCCAAATTATTTTCTAATTTTTGAACTCCAATTTTAAAGCTAATTTTTTTTTAGTTATTGGGCGGGGCATCGTATTGAAACGATCATCGATTCCCTCGGTCGGACAATACGTCGGTTCAAATATCGGATCCTTTGTAAGCTTTGACACAACCGATGTGTTGGAGGACATCTCGATTAAACAATGATTTTTGTTGATGGCGATCCATATTAGATAGGAAACTTTGTCGAAAATTTTAAATATTTTTTGGAGGCGTCAATCCTTCCTAGGTAGGAGACTTCACCATAAATTTTAGATTTTTTTTTTTGGTCAAACGAAAATCCCTATCAAATAGAAGACTTCGTTGATATGATATTTTAACCCTATTAAAATCATATACTAACATAAATTTCACACCCTAAGCATCTCTAGGTTTTCTAACATTAATAAAACTAAAACTTATTATAAAAAAAACACATGAAATAGGAAAAGAGAGCAAACCGAACAATCCAAAATTCACACTGCACCGAAAAATTACAAACATAC